CATTTAGTCGTGTCCGACTCTTTGTGACCCCATGGACCAGAGCATGCCAGGCACTCCTGTCTTCCACTGCCTCCCGCAGTTTGGTTTCCAACTTACCTGAGAGTATAGTGTCTTTTTAGATGCTAATGGATAAATCCTGCTTTCCCACCCTATTTTGGAAGCCTGGTGATTTTCATTCCATGGTCAGGCTGATGATACACATTAAGGCTTGAGCCAAATCTACTCAGTTTGCCTCTATTCTTTGATAAGAACTAACTTGAAAGGTGAACAAGGTAGACAGTGTTTGGTCTCCAAATTATGCTAAGGTTAATGAATCCCTTGTACAGATAAAAAATTATAACTGACAAATCCTAGCTGGGAATAGAAAGTGCAGTAAAATTATGGTGATTTTGATCTGTTTTTCTCAGTCAGTTCATGCTATACTTTACTCTTCAAATAACCTATATTTCAACCATACATTATAACAACAGCAACAAATCCCTTGCAAAACCACGAAGGACTGGATTAAAAATGTCTCTTCCATGTATAGGAGAGCTTCTCCTGTGTGGTGCGCCAGATTTAGCTCAAGATCCTTGTGAGAGAAAAGTGAATTAAAATTCAGAGCCATGCCTCTGCTTGCACATTGAAGTTGCATAATCTCTTGCACAGCTCTCAGTGTGCTGTTATATAATATGTCACATATAATATGTCACATATATAGTATGTCAATGTCACACAATGGGTACTTCCACTCCTATTTTATGAACAGGAATAGTTCAAGAACATGCTGGCAAATTCAGATTACACAATTACAGTTGATTTGCTTGTGCAACAAACTTGCTTCCTTCTGAAACTGGATGTTGTTCCATAAAGAGAGTGTAGAGAAATGTACTGGAAAGCAACGCAGAAGGAATGCCCAATAAAAAGTCAGCATTGTCTAACCTCCCTGCAAACTTTGTGCCAATAAATCAGTATGAATGTTCAATAACCAGCTTGCCTGAAAGTGACTGAAGTCTGATGCTTCCTCTTGCAAAACTGCTCACAGAACAGTATGGCTGCCAGAGTTTCTTCCACCAGCATAGGGGTAGAGAACCTGTGGCCCTCCAGATGTTGTTGGCAGGCCCAGCCAGCATGGCCAGTGGTCAGGATGGTAGGAACTATAGCCCAACATTTGGAGAGCCACGGGGCCCTCCCCTCAGTCTTATCTGGATCAAACCTCATTTTATTGGCATTCATCCAGTCCATTACCAAGGCAAGAAAACAGTCCAGCACTACGACTGCCACACCTGCAGATGTAAAAGATCAGTAAAGTATTGTGTCATCAGTATATTGCTGACCACGTTCTCCAAACCTCTGGTTCCTGTTTTCAGGATATTTCTCATATATGGGTTTGAATACCCTTATTTCTTCCTGATAGTGACTAAAGTGGAGTGATTCATTGCTGAGGTTTACCATGTAGTCTTGTGCATGCATACTACAAAGTAAGTCCTACTGAATTCTATAGGACTTCCTCTGAGGTATGAAATTTCATAATGCTCCCCCCCCCCAATTTGTTCAGACAGCACATATGAATATTAGCTCTCTATTTTATTCATATCTCGGGATGTCTATGCTTTCCACCAAAGCATTTGATAATGCATTCTTATGGGTTTGTAGGTTAATCCATCAAGCTCATTCAAATCAGCATTAGACCACTTAATTATATTCATGGCATAAGTCAGTTTCCAGGCTGCCCAAGTGCTAATTGCTTTTAGCTGTAAGATCAGTTTCCAGCCTTTTGAGGAGTCTCTGTCTATAGAGTTGCTGTTAAGAGGATTCTAAAGTGGAGAAGGCTACCTGGTTGATCCCAAGGGGCTGCTGGGTATATATCAAGCATAGGTAACATATGGGTGTTTACAACATGTTCCTGTCACTCCACATCTTTGCTTTTATCTTTCTAGGCTCAATAACATTCCCCCACCCCCATCCTCATTGGAAAATCTGTCAGTTTGTTTATTAGTGTTCTGCTATTTTGGTTCCTAAGCACCACCATCCACTGCACAATCCTATCTGTATAATGCAGCTTTTGCCAAGCTGGTGCCATACTGGCTGGGGCTGATGGGAGTTATAGCGCAAAACATCTGGAGGGTGCCAAGTTGGTGTGGAGTAGTTCTTTTTTTAAAAAAAAATATTAACAATTTCAACATAACAAATTATCAAAACAAATCATCATCATTATTTCCCCCCTTTTTTCCCCTCCCACTTCCCCAGCAAACCCTCCCCCTCCCCCCAAGACTTCCCTCAGCTCCTCTCTCTGATTTCTCAACTCATCTTATTCTCTGCACATTGTAAAATTATATACATCCTTGTATTATCTATCTACTATATTAACCCTCAATAAATTTGTGTATGTTTATTCAAAACCTGCCAAGGAGTCCAGTTCATTCTGTTGTCTTTTTAAATAATTTGTAAAAAGCTCCCATTCTTCTTTAAGTCACAGTTGTCTTTATCTCGCAATTTGCATGTCAATTTCGCCAGTTCTGCATAGTTCATCAATTTCTCTTGCCACTGTTCTTTTGTCGGGGTTTCCTCATTCTTCCATCCTTGTGCTATCAAGACTCTTGCCGCGGTGTGGAGTAGTTCAAACACCTGGAGGAGGAGGAGGAGGAGGAGGAGAAGGAGGAGAGGACAGGGTGAAGCCATGAGTGGAGGGGGGCCCTTTTCTTATCCCCGGGGCCCCCAGGAAACTCAGCAAACCTGCTGCACCTGGAACTGCATGTGGAGAGTGCAGCTGAGTGGGACACAATTGTAGGCAGCCTGAGGAAGTACCATCTACCTGGGGCTTGCCCATGAAAAGCAAGCAAGACTAGGGTGATGTCTGCTGCTTCTTTTTGTTGTGAAATTTTTGTGGGTGAGAACCTGAAGCCTGAGAGGGAGGGTCTGTCAGAAGCAGTGCTATTTTTCTAGAAAAAGAGGGGCTAGAATTCGCCATGAACACAATGGCACCCACCTGAGAGGCGCCAGAAAGTTCCAGCAGAAAAGAAGCCCAGGTCAGAAGGAAAATGAATTGATAGTGATTATATGTGTGTCTGTAATTTTGATATAATGCAACATTTTTATATGCAACTGTGTATTTTTTAAATATTTTGTTTATGTTGTCTGTTGTTGCTTCTTTTTTGTACACTGCTTAGAGATATTTTTAATATATTGGTATAGAAATGAAGTGGTCAGAAACGAACAAGAAAAGAATGTAACTGGTTTCCTTTGTACTCCTGAATTCCATGAAATATCCATCAGTATAATGGCATGCATAGATATTCCTCTTTTTATATCTCTTCTGTTTCTTTGTACTTGTGTTGCCAGTACTCAAGGGATAGTGAATTAAATGAGCATGGAATAGTTATTTGCATTAGGAATCACCATACTGATGGAGTAGGACATGGAGAATAACTTCAAGAGATCTAATCTAGAGCAATGACTAACTGGCAACAAATAATTATTATATGTCTATGTGTACTTTAAAAATATTTATGCCAATAATTGTGCATTATTCCATAATAATTATTTTCTATTATTCTGTATTTTTGCATTCCCCCACCCTAAATTGGCCTTTTCCATTTTGTACTTTTTGAACTTCATCTTCAATTACTTCTTCCATTAATGCATCATTGGTATTTATTCTAGCAGACATTATATGTCTCCATGTAGCTTATTCTATATCTCCCTCCTGAAGTTGTTATTGTATTTCTAGCCTCCTTCAGGGGTGAGTCATGTGAAGAACATATTACATGATTACTGAGAGCGGAACTGGGCACATGATTACCTACCCACCCAACACAAATGCATTGATAAAGACTCTTTGCAGTGAAGAAGCCTATGAATGAGCAGCTGCCAACAAAATCTGAAAGACCAATAAATAATGTGACCAGGACTCCCAAACACAGCACAGGTACCCCAATTGCATGGAAACCTATGAGCAGACAGGCCACATCAATTCATGGATGCCTGGGGACAGATCCAGCAGTGTAGTCCCATCCCTGGTTAAGCATGCAATGTTGACTTTATTAGATTCATGTATGAAGGGGGCTTGCCATGGTTCTGTTTTTGTCCCTTGTTTTCCATTTTCTGTGGAATTGTTTTTGACAGGCAGTATATAAGTTGTTCCTGTTTGCATTTCCAACTCTTACAGCCCCATGAGCTGTGCTCTATTTCAATTCCTGCTTCTGTGTATTAAGGTGATCCATAAGTGATGCCATAAAATTACTTGTACCAGACTTGATATTAAGCTTTTCCCATTCTAGAGTTAATGAAAAATGCTTTTCTGTGGAAATTCATGTATACTGTGATTTTACCAATTCCTATTTTGAAGACTATTAACATTGCCTCCTATTTCATTCTTTCCCAACTTCAAACCTACAGCTTCATTAACTGTGGCAGCCCTGCAATATACTGTGAGATGAATGATTTCAATTTTGGAAGTATCCATGGTTGAGATTTTCGATATCATTTTCATGTCTTGTTATTTCTAACACTCAGTGACTCTCACACATTAAAGGATTATTATTATTATTACTGTTAATATTACTACTAATACAATTATTATTGGGAGTAGCAGTAGCAGCAGCTTTAATAGCTGAAGGAGAGGTCCGAATAGACTAATCCATGTCTCAAAAGACTGTTCACAAGGTCCTTAAAGCTAAAGGGACCCCTGACCATCAGGTTCAGTCATGGACAACTCTGGGGTTGCGGTGCTCATCTCGCTTTACTGGCCGAGGGAGCCGGTGTACAGCTTCCAGGTCATGTGGCCAGCAGGACTAAGCCGCTTCTTCCGAACCAAAGCAGCACACGGAAACACCGTTTACCTTCCCGCCGGAGCGGTACCTATTTATCTACTTGCACTTTGATGTGCTTTCAAACTGCTAGGTTGGCAGGACCTGGGACCTTATGATGAGCCACATTGCCATCTTCATAGAACCATAGAACTGTATAATTTGAAAGGACCACAAGGGTCATCTAGACCAACCCCCTCCAATGCAGGAATCTTCTGCCCAGTGTAGGTCTTGAACCAAACACCTTGAGATTAGGAGTCTCATGCTCTACCAACTGAGCTATCCTAGTTGTCATCCCTCATGTATGTGTTGGCACTTCAACCCAACCCAGTGTAAGACATCAAGGAAGAAAGAGGGCTAGTTTACACACAAATACTCATAACTTGACGACTATAGCATCATTTGATCACTTGCATGTGCAGTTGAATAGCTATCTATGGTAGCAACGATCATAAGGAGAACTTTCATATTCAACTATGATTCATCATGCAGTGAGTGATATCATATATATATATATATATATATATATATATATATATATATATCAAACGATACAAATGAACTGAGTGATGTACATGCATGTGTGAATCAGCCCAAGGAGGTTCTCCTGTGTCAGATACTGCCCCTGAATGTGCAGCTTTGCAGTGTGCAGGAGATGCATCTTCTCTGGTCCCTTTGTGCTGCCTTCTGTAGACTTTTCCTATCGTTTGGGTCAACTAAGAGTGTGGGTTTCCATTGGGTCTGTCCACCCAGCCTGACCTAAGTTAGATCATGTTTCAGTTGCCATACTCCTGTTTAATTTTAAAGCCAATCCATAGACAGGAAGTCTTAAATTCATTAAGAACAATGGCAAAGTAACATGTGAGGAAGAAGAAGAAGAGAAGAGTTTGGATTTGATATCCCGCTTTATCACTACCCGAAGGAGTTTCAAAGCGGCTAACATTCTCCTTTCCCTTCCTCCCCCACAACAAACAGTCTGTGAGGTGAGTGGGGCTGAGAGACTTCAAAGAAGTGTGACTAGCCCAAGGTCACCCAGCAGCTGCATGTGGAGGAGCGGAGGAACGAACCCGGTTCCCCAGATTACGAGACTACCGCTCTTAACCACTACACCACACTAGCTCTTGGAAGGAAGGAAGGAAGGAAGGAAGCCCATATTTATATGCACAAGATTGCTGGTCGAACTGAGGAAGAGGGACTTTAGTGTAGTGGATTAGAGAAAAGTCTATGAGAGTCTAGCAAAAGGACCCCAAACAAAACGAAGTAGAAAGAGGGGAGCCAAAGGAGAGCAGCAGCGATGCTGAGGGATCCATTAAAGGCAGAGTCTCAGACCTGCTTATTACAAAGAAATGGGTAGACAGGTTCAAAAGGATGGGTGAAATGTGGATTATAGCTCCTGATAGGAGTTATTCCCAAGCAAGCATGTAGACGAAAGAAAGTATTGACACATGCTACACCTGTGTTAGTGCTGCCTACACCATTTCATTTATAATAAGCCCTACTATTCCCAGTGTTCCGTTACAGCAGATGGCTGCACAAGACGCAACATGCTGTTCATTAGGGGACAGAGCTTCTCTCCCATCTCCTTAAAAAACAATAATCTTTTTTCTCCTGTTCTCTTGGGAAAACAAAACATGCAGCACACAGTGCTCATACTGGAGATGCTGGGAGAAAACTAATGCAAGTGTCCCTGAAGGGAGATGAATACACCAATTTGGTTTTCAAATTGGAAAGCCCTGTTCATTCATGCTACTCCAGTCAACTCCGAATGAAGTGTTTGGTACAAGCAGTAAGATTCACCGGGAGCCAAGAAGTTCAGTAATGCTTTAGCCTAGTGGAGGTAGGGTGGGTGCCTATAATTTCCAAACACTAGAAATTAGAGAGGTGCTTCCCTGTGGTCAATATCCTTCCGTGTTTACATAGAAATAAGTCCCACAGAAATAAGACTTCCTGCTAGCAACTTCAGCCCATTTTATTGCTTCTTGTTATTGGCTAGGGGACTGATGACAGACAGCCTCTGGTTTCTCCTTAGCAGGCATTTTCTCCCTCACCTGAGTAGCTGCTACTATGCAGTGGATGACAAGCAGTCATATCAGGATTCAAAATAAGGAGGCTATAAGCAACAGCTATTGTATTTCTTGTCCACAACTTGCTACCCACTTCCCAAACAACACAAATCTTAAATGTGTTGTTTATTCACTATTGGTATGTAAGAAGTGGGGGACCTGATGCAAACAAGGACAGAGATGCTGCTTGCTGTGGGCGTAGCTTGTCATGTGTGGGGTAAGGAAGCCTGCACTGACTGAAATTCTGTTTCCAGACAACTCTTAATGCCGCAGGAGCCCAATCTTTCATTGTATCTAGTTAAACAAGTATAGAACAAAATGGAGGCTAGGGGTATGTTAACCAACGATAGCAGTCCTGGTCACAAGCTCCCAGAAGCTGCATCTGGTTGGCCACTGTCAGAAGAGGACTAGAGAAGCTTTTGGCATGAAACATCAGGGCTTCCTCAAGTTTCATAATACGATATAGGACCAGAAGGGCCTTGGGTCTCATCCAGTAGTTAACCTACTCTTCTTAAGTTCTTGAACCTGGAGGGGAAAAATACAAGGTTCTTTACAGGGAACAACAACTTTCATATTACTGCAGCTTTCGGCAGTCTTCTGTATGTTCCTTATTGAAAATAAGTCTGGATGAGAAATACAATGCAAGAATAAAGTAGCTTTTTATTGACGTTTGAAGAAAGGGGAAATGACTTGGGTCCTCATGCCAGTGGGAGTCCTTTCTGAAGAAAAAGGGGGAAAATTGTTGTCTGAACAACCATTATACGCTGGAAAATGGCAAGCTCTTTCAAGTTATTAGAAAACCTTATAGAAGTCTAGGCCTTAATAGACCTCTGTGTACCCTTGTGGTTTTCTTCTGACACCTCCAGTTTAACTGGGGTGTTCTTTCCAATGTTGTTCTGTTGTTCCGGTGCTCAGGCAACAGCGGATGGTTTTGTTGTCATCATTGTTGCTCTGATCACTGAAAGACCTGCTGTGTAACTATTTTAATAAACAAAGCCAGTCCGATAGTTTCTGCACGCCCACTTCTAAAAATGAAATCTAAATGAATCAGTTAATAGACATACTCTTTTGGATGTTAGAACTAGAAAAGCTGCTGCAATATTTACGAGGTGAATTTCATTTGGAGGAGCACAGTCAACTTCCTTGGGTGGGGGTGTGATGGAAAGCAGATATCTCAGTACTGAGTTCTAATGTTAATTAAGATGCATGTTAGATTTTTTTATTTGTTGGAGCCAGCATGGGGCTTTTCTGAGGCATGCCTGGAGTCTGGGGCACCTAAAGAGCAACACACCCAGCTTGTTGGTGCACAAACACAATTGTAATTATAAGATGTAACTCAGCAAGCTCATTGACCTCCAAAGAAACATGGTTCTAGAGATGTTGCCTTGACAGCAAAATGTTCAGTCTTTTTTCTGTTTAGAAATAATAGGCAGAGTGTTATTTTCTTTCTTCTTTAAGAAAAACACTCTTCTACTTCCCTTCCCTTCCATTTTTCACGTCCCTTTCTTTCTCCTTCTTTCTTGTAATCCCACCCAGCTCTGATTTTCATTGTCATTCCCCCCCCCCCATAATCGGGAGCTAAACTGAAAACTGCCATGGTTGGTAGGAAAGGAAAGGAATGTCCCCCCCTTGAGCTCTTCAGCTTTGCTTTTCCACATTATTATGTTATTTTGGAAGCTGATCTGTTTGCACATTGTTGGGTCCATTCCAAGATAATGTTTGCTATGAAATTTCCCTACTTAGAATATAATGCTCCAAGCAGAGGCATGCCGTCCTCACGCCTACAATGAAATCTGTGTGCTGCTGAGATGTCCCCTGAGCATTGTGGTGACATCTGTGGGTTCCCACTATAGGCATTTCACTAGAGGCAGAGGATACTTCTGAAATATGCTCTACTTACAACTGCCTCTCAGATGCGCAGTTATTCTGTTATCATACCAATGGCGCCTATTACTGCTTCTCAAATAAAGGAGATTTTCTGTGATCATGTTAGTTAGACAAAAGGGTCCTTCTATGACCTTCTCCTCCTTAGTCTTCCTTTGATATTGTATCTATCCACGCCCACAGCTTACATGATTGTGCTACATTCACATGACAGTTTATTCCCTTTTCACGTTTCCCTAACTGTTAATTTCCACATTATATTTGAGCTTTCACATGATATAGAAGCAACTTCCAGAACTGTAGTGGAATATGACACCAGTTTAGCACTCATTTCTATATTATTCACAAACATATTTTTTTCTTGAAAGTGAATAACATGGATATGGATACTAAATTTGTGCTATATTCCACTATAGTTTCAGAAGACAGAAACATTTTTTTTCATGCTTCTAATTGTCAACATTCATAAGTAAGGCTTAAATCACGCCTGAGCCTCTGAAACATTTTTATATATTCATATGAATTGGAAGGCAGGGAAAAGGGCACCTGCAATGCAATGTACATGTTCTTCCAGCAATTCCTGCAGCCCAGCTTGTGCCAAATGTGTTGCTCTGCATTCCTGAGGCCTGGAGGGTGGTCTTGTTGTCTGGGCAGCCCAGGACCTTCCTATACACTGTCTAGGTCTGCACCCCAGGGAGGTCACTTCAGTGCTGCTAATGCAGCAAAAACAATGTGGGAAGCAACAGTTACGAGTTACCTGTCTCTGCGACCACAGCAGGCGCTGTGATTCTGCAGCGGGTTGACTTCACCCCCAAGGCACACTCCATTGCCTCTTGAGACAGATGCCAACAAAGTTTTGAGAAGTGATAGAAGCAAGAACAAGTATCGTGGTGGCCAACATATCAATATTTGGACTTGCAGAAAAGAAGGGTTCATTATAGAAAATAAATGAGTCAGAACACAACAGATGCAGTCTTTGTCTTCTTAGGTGGCTGGGTTGAGCGATGTCTGCCTCACATCTTGGAAAGCTGTTGCCAGCCAGTGCAGAGCAGGCTAGATGGCTCAGTGATATGACTCAACATACAGCAGCATGTGTTTAGTGACCCTTCTGTACAGCCTGAAAGAGGCTGAAATGGCAAGAGACATTTTGTGGTATATTTCGTTTGCAAAAAAAAATGGATGTCTCCACTAATAGCATCTTTATAACCAATATTTATGAACAGAACTTTGAAGTTAAGCACCTACCCATGTCTTTTCAGGATGAAGGCCTAACACAGAATAATGTATAAAAGCTAATTCCAATCTGTTCCATATAATGCTGAATTCAGAGGAGAAGGAAA